CAAGGTACACTACTCAGGAGAAACGCAGGATTTCTTTCCTGCCTTTCTTGGAACATCAGGGAAAGAACAGCGTCAAGTCCAACAAGTTTTCAAGCCAAAAAAATTGAGGGAGGGCTGGGGAGGAAAGGAAGAGAAACAGGGACTGTGGAATTGTAGCATAGTTTCTGCAGAGGGGGCAAGGCACAAGTCTTTCAATGAAAGTTTGTCTCATGCCTCTGCTGGCACAAGCAGCACTCACGGTGCAAACAAACGCTCAGCAGGCTTCCTAAGTAGACAGTTTGGTGATTCAGACACAAAATTTTGAGGAAGGCAAACATCAGCATTAAAACCTCCTGTGTGAACACTTCCAAAAGCCAGTTCAGAACCTATTCAAACATTCTGCCAGTATTTACTATTCAAGTAAAGCACAGCCCTGTTCGTAGGCTGCTGCTCCTGAGCTAGCCTGCATGCAACCAGCTCAGCATCCCCACGTGTACGGCAATCATGGCTGGGAACAGAGAATGGACTGTATTTCTTTTTTTTTTTTTTTTAAAAACCCAGACTGAAACTCTTCATGCGCTTACCACAACAGATGTGAGCACTGCCTGTACCGCACTGACAGCAACGCTACTACTAAGCAGCTCATCACCCAGGCACTGAAGAGAATACAAAGGAGTTCAGGAACTGAAAGTGGCTGGAAGCAAACCTGAAACCATATGCCAGAGGCAGGCTCCCAGAGCTGCAGGAGGGATGAAGGGAGACTTCTTAACCTTTGGCAGACACCTCCAGAGCTTTCTGTCTCTATTTCTGCAAAGGTTTCCCTCCTCCGTTCATCCACATATTATATCCATAGTCACGTCCAAAGAAATTCTTCCCCAGCTGGGGGATTTATCTGTCCCCCCGCCACTTCCATTGTATTATTTAACTTAAACGTCTATATATAAGCCAACGTGCTGTTATCAGTCCCTATACTCTAGGGCTCACATACCTTTTTAGCTGTTCATCTTTCATCCTATCCTCTTTTTTCTCGTCTATTCATTTTTTTTCCCCCAGAACCTCACACTAAAGTAGCAATCCTGACAAATTTATTGCGCTCTTACAGCTGGGAGTGCAATTCCAATGGCAACTCCTACACTGGAGCTCAGAAAGAGAGGGAGAATGAGCAGAGCTCATTTGTTTTTATTTGGGATGGTAGAGTGACAAGCAGTGTAGCAATAATGTTGTTATAATTGTGTTATCTAAAGCTTCCATCTATTTTTCTAGACTCACTGAAAGTTTCAGTTCCTGTAAGCTTAAATACATTGACCCTTTAAAAGCACAATCATGTGCTTGTGATCCCTAGAGAACACTAAGTAGATTTTCCACACAATTAAGTTTATGATGTCCAATATCTGTCTTAGCCAGAACCAGCTGCTTTTCACAGGCTCTACAGTTGCTCCTCTCATTTTAGTTTAAATTGAAAGACATATTTTTTCCTAATTTCCTACTTCACTGTTGTCCCCCTTCTCCCTCTAAAACCTAAAATTCTGGGGAACCCGGAGGGCTACACACAAACCTTCCAAGCTCCGAGACAGAACCCTGCCAGGCAGACTTTCTTTTGCACACAGGGAAAGCAAAAGTTACCAACAGTATCTCAACACAGCACAAACTAGCCACCTCTGCATCATGAAAGATCTTGTAACACCTTCCTCAAGAGAATGGCATTACCTCAAACAAACAAGCCCACCGATCTCCAACAATCACATAACGAACTGGATTTTGGCAACTGGCTTTCTCTTCCTAATTGAGCAGTTGCTGCTAGGCACACTGGTAAAAGTACTGGTCAACCAAAGCAGAACATTGCCTAAGTGGATACATGTGTTTTTTAAACTATTTTGATAGATCACCAACTCAAAAATACCAAAATGAACTTTGAACTTCAATAGCAGTGAATTAGCTGGTTTGAGTTGGGCTTTCAATGCCTTACTGCTAGTTATAGCTACATTTATTGGTTTTAGCCTGTTCTCGAGCCTCTAGCACATTATGCTGTCTTCAGGTCTGAAATCGAAGTGTCAGCTCTGCCACCAGCATCACCGTATAAAGACCCATGCTCTGGCTTACCACAGCTTTATCACGACAGCGTTCACGACACCCAAGGGGATTCCTGAGCCAATTCCTGACCCTACTAAGAGGTAACGTTATTTACCGCAGCTCCCAAGCACGTCTCCAGAGACAAACACCCCTCCCTGTCACTTGTAGTCTAAGCATACTAACCGACTGTGGTAGGAAACATTTCAATACAGAACTACCAGGTGGTGTGAATTATGTATAAATTAAATATACATTCAAATGAGTCCCAAAATAAAGTTGATTTCTATTCCCGAAAGAGATTATTTTGTAAAATTGTCTTTTTAAAAAATCCTTTTACAGAGAGGTGACTAGAACACAGATAGAGGATTAATGGGAGATACAACAGTCCCTCATGCATTTCGACAAGCACTTAGGAATTACATTACTATAAAAATGTAAATGCTGATTAAGACAGTTCACTATGATCTTGCACCCCCTTCTATGCTCCGGAAAGCGTCACTTTTAATCAGAAGTATTTGCCAGCACTCCAAGAACCAATTTAAAGTCACGAGCACTTAAACAAAGTGGGAAGACCTAAAAAGTTCTCAACTCCTGCTCACAAGTACTTTTACTCACTCTTGTTTGCTTGTTAGTCCAAGCAGATCCTTGAGCTAAGTTCATCTGAAAACAGCTCTAACTGCTGTTCTTGCAATACACCTCCCAAACCCAATACACACCAGAGACTCAGTCGACTCTAGGAAGTCTTAAACAGGCGATGAACGTGCATTTGGAGAAGTGAAAACCAAAACACAAACCCACTCAGATGGGAGGTGAGGATGCAATAACCATGTCATTCAAACTTAGCTTCCGTTTTTGAACCCAACCAGGCCAAGGCATCGTTCCACTCCCACCAGCCTGAACACCAGGCACCCCATCCCACCACGGCAGCTTCCTGAGGGGAAGGAGGGCAAGCACCAACTACGGACGGCACCGCAAGTATTGGGGGAAAAGGGAAGAAGGAACAGGCATCGTCTGCCTTTCCTCCCGCTTGCCTGCCGCCCTGAGGAACTTTTCGCTATCTCCTCCTTCCCTCTGCCGTCAATGCCAGAAATAAAAGAGCTCCCCAGAGGACAGAGTAGGCGGCTGGGCGTGCAGGAGGCGCCCCGGCGCAGGGAGGGAGCGCAGCGGCCAAGAGGAGGGAAGGAGGGAAAACCCTACGTGACACGCACCGGGCGGAAGGAGCACAGCCGGGGCAACCTCCTGGCCCCTGGGCGAACCACCCCGTCCCCGCGAGCAGCACAGCAAGGCACGGCCGCCTCGGGAAGGCACAGAGGAGTCCTCAGGGGAGCAGCCGGAGCAAGAAAGCGCTCACTCAGCGCCTCCTCGCTGCCAAAGGGATCCCGCCGCCCCAGCCGGCCACCGGGGCGCTGAGGGGAAGGAGCTCACCAGGGCTCCGCCACCCCGCGGCCCGAAGCCCCCCTCCGCCCCCTCGCAGC